GGCGCGGGTGGCTGCTTGGGTTCAGGCTGGGGATGGTCTGCTCAAAAGGAGGAGGAATCAGTGTCGAGTGTGAAAGCGTCGAGTTCTTGATTGATGAACTTTGAAATGTATCACCGACAGGGGGAAAAGATGTCAGGCACTCAGCAAGCGATGGCTGACTATTGATAAAACCAATCTCTCGCTCAAATTCGAAATTCATGGCCTTCAACTCGCAGCCCCCGCGGAGAAAAAGTTCCCTCGGATTTAGGGGGCTTGGGGGGGGAAGGCCCAGGAAAAAGGAGAGAGAGAAGAAAAAAATATATCATAGAAGATCGCTGGTGGGGTGTTTTTTTTCTAATTCACTGATTACAGCCGTATGGGGACCGTGCTACTATTAAACTATTGAATTCATGGAGACAAGGTTGAAATTGGACCGAATTGGCTGTCACATGATTGCCTCTGCCCAATGACAATTTGGGCTTTAATCAAAAGAAGCCACTGTCTGTTTGATTGATCCAAAAAAGTCGGGAAGGAACGCCTCATTGGGGGCCAGAAAGGCTTTATTTACACTTTTTTTAAAGAGGGAAATGATATCTCTAGTATCTATCCCCTTGGCGTCCTAATCTGAAATGATGTGGGGGGTGCGTGTGCGTGTACATGTTTGTGTGAGAGGCTGTGAGTATGTGTGTGTGTGCGCGTGTGAGTGTGTGTGTGTGTGTGTGAATGTGTGTGTGTGGCTGCTTGTCCTGCAGCCTGCTGCCTCCCTCGCCTCCACCCGCACACTCTTCTCTCATTGTTTGGGACTGTCAGGAAAACGCTTTGCACCTCACAAATCATTTAAGCACCTCAATCTGACGCCTTGACTCATTAACAAAGTAATCCATTAATCTTCAAAGTTTTGACACCGCCAGGCCCCCGCATAAGAAGTTGCACCCAGGCAGGAGTCTGAAGCAGAGTGTCTTGATTTTTTCGTAGGGAATAGCACTTCCTCCAAAACTAGTTTATTGCTCCCGAATCAGCCTCGGTGTGTTGCTTTTCTTTCCCTTTTTTGTCTGGTTTTTTTCGCTTTTTTCTTTTTCCTTTTTTCTTTTTTTCTTTCTTTCCTTTTTTTTTTTTTTTTTTTGTTATCGGGTGTACAGTATGGAGAACAATTGGCCGCCGATGCTCGAGCCATTGTTTAACAGGATCTTCCTCAGCAACCTTGCTTCTAGGGGAAGAGTCACATAGGCAGCAAGCCCTTGTGCTTCATGACTTCCCTTTCCAGTTGGCTTCCCGGGATTGGACCGCAAAACATACCCTAGGAGTATCTCTCTGGGCGAGCCAAATCGCGAGGCTGCAAACGCGTCTGGCTGTTGCCTCTTAAAAAAAAAAAATCCTGTGCCTTAGCTTGCAAACGATACTCCCGTCTGCTGGCATAATTTGCTTAATAATCGTAGTAGGCTGGGTCTGGTGAGTATTTTCGATTACCAGGAAATATATGGGCTGGTAGCGGGTTTGTTTTCACGGGGCTAGGCAGAGCGAAAATGCTGGAGGGGTTATAACTTGAGGCACGGCAGTCGCCTCCCGAGCCTTGGCTCTCTTTACCGTCGTTTCCATCTGCCCTTGCTAGGTCGAGGCAAGTCACGAATTTGGATGGCTTGGGCACAATTTTCCAATCAAACTGAGGCGAGCGGGAGAGCGATGACAAGGATGGCCAAAATCATGAGCCCGAAGAGTCCTGTGGCCATTTTTTGGTGCGCGGGCAGGGCGCGGGCGGCGCAGCCGAGCTGGTCTCCGCGTCCTCGTGGAGCCAGGCACCATCGCCAGGGCGATGCCTTTCCGTCTGTCTTTATTTTCGGAGTTGTCATAAAGGGGTCGGCAAGCGTCTTCGTGAAAACAAAAAAAAAATGAAAGAAAGAAAAAAAAAAAACAAGCGAGACCCCAAGCACTCAGCGGATCAGTGTACGTCCAGACTGCACGAAGTGCATTTAAAAAATCGGTTTTAAGTTAATGCACCCACAAGATGTAGCATATCTGTGAAGGCATTGGCGAGAGGGGGAGGGGAGGGGCTGGGAGGCATTAAATGGGCTTTTTGGTGGTTACTTGTTTAAATAAAATATAGAACGAGACTTGCCATTTAATCCCTCAAAAGGGATGCCTTACAAATATCGATGCTGTTGGAAAATGCAAGGGGTTTAATTTTCTTGCTTTTAGTCCAAACAAAGCTCTGGTGGTGTCTGCGCGCGATCAATCTTGGCCGCCAAAAGGTTTGACAGCTACTGGCCCTTAAGAACACATTTAAAGCTTCTTGCTCTTTCCAAGATCAAATGTGGCCGAGAAAAGAGGCAGAGCAAGAAACGCAAGTAAACAAGGAAAAAAGCTACTTTTAAAATATGCTGGCAGAGGACTGCTCTCCTGCCTGTGGGAAGAGCCCGTTTTTATTTTGCTTCTCAGTGCCTACCTTGGGGTCAGGCTTTTCTTTTTCTTTTCTTTAATTTTTTTTTTTTCTGGAAAATATTGGGATTAACAGCAGGATGACAAATAATAAAGAGAGAGGTTTGGACTTTAACCAGGCTTTGTGAGTAAAACCTGTGTGGGTGTCTCTATTCTGCACATTTGTTTCTTGCGGTCAGTCTAATACAAAAACCACCTGGAGCAAAACCTTTAGAGAGGGGACGGGAAATTCTTGGGCAAATCAATTACTTCTGCCTCCAGAGAGATCTTTTAATCGGTCGAATTTTAAACGCAAAGATACAGTTTCTTATATGTAATGTGCAGACTCTGAAAAAGGGGTAGGGTATGTTTTCTGAAAAGACGGGGACAAAACCGCCTCTATTTGTCTTTCTTCAGAGTGGCAGGGGAATGAAAACGCCAAATTCCTTCTCTTTGCATATTTTCATAAATTGTATTCGTGGTGCTAAAGTAGGCTCATATTAAGAATTCACCGATTGTACCGTTATATTTTGTTTCATGCAACGCAACTAACACGAGGGGTTGGGGGGGCTGGTTTGAATTTTATTCATGCGCTTATTTGAAACGAGTAGTGTTTCTGGTGATCTTGCGTCAACTGCAAAAAAATACTTTCTTCACCTACAAAATAATAATCTGTCCGTGTTTTGCATTGTGTAATAATTATATTTCAATGAAAAATATCGGACTAAATAACCTTTCCTGCAATGGCTACATACCTATATCTATAATAAACAACATCGTATAAATATATTTGCAATCTTTTTCTTTGACTGGACATGTTTTATCTGTTTGCGCAGAAAAGCTCTATATAGATCCATGGATGTATGACAATGTTTCAGCATCAGGCAAGGATGGCTCTGGGAACAAGATAAAGCCCAAAGATTAATAATATTTCAGCATGAGACCAAAATGGCGACATTTTTTCTATGCTCTAAAAGATACAGATGGTGAACAGCGTGCGTTATTATCTCTGCAGCATAGGAATATTATGTCTTTATAAACGTGCACGGGTATATTTTGCCTAGTCTATTAAGGTCCATTTTGATTTATCTTTCAAGTTTCAATCTAAAAATTACGGGCGTTTCGCCTGAAAGGAAGAAAAATCGCATTTAAGCAGACGCCTTGGAGTTTCTGGCTTCCCCCTCGGACGGATGCGGGCCGGAGCCCCCCGCGGGTGCCTGCGGTGCCCGTCTGGAGCCGAA